GAAAAACAAACGTAAACAAAACATGAATTTATGAACTTTCCGCAATTCATGATCTTGGTTTGAAAATAAATAAACGTCCCACTTCCCTTGTATTATTACGCTAACTATCTATTGGAGGTTTAGCCATCTGGGAAATTTATGATCTGCAATTACTAAGTAAATAAAAGTTAACAGATACACTAACAATCTTTATGAAGTCCACACACTTTTACCCTCGAACTGCGAATGTGTTGATACAGACGTAAGTACACTCGGAAGCCTCCTCTACAAAATCCACGAACTGAACTTCAGCTTCCAAAAAAAAAATGTGATTTGGCTGTTTAAACAACTAATACTTTACGAAACTATTCAAAACAACGACTTTGAATAATGGCATAGTCATCAGAGTTTAGAACAAAATAATTATCTTGTATTGCAAACGACAGTCTATTGGGTTAATACAGAAAGAACATAAACACGTACTCTACGCTGATTGAGTGGTAAACCCGTCCTTTCAAGCTTTTATGATTCACTTTTTTACAAACAAAACTCGAAATTGCACACAACACCCCCGTAACAAGCACCATTTGTATTCTTTTTCTGAAAAGAAAATGGAAGGCATTGTACAAAATGGGTTAATGGGATTCTGGTAAACAGTGCTTGAGGGTGGCAAGTCAAAGACACTGATTAAGAGTAAAATTACCACTAAAACAAATTGTTACTAAAGAGGCTGACCTTGACAGAGCCATAAGCCAAGGTTTTTGTTTAATTTCCCTCAGTATCTGTTTGAAAGTAATGAAAGACATAGTTCTTAAATATTGTTAGAGCTCTTCATCAACAACCACAGTCGTTTGGTGATAATGATCACGACAATGATGGTGAAAGGATGAGGTCGTCAAAGAAACTATGTCCATTATATTTTTTCGCCCAAGACGTGGATATTTTTTTAATGTCCATTTGTTCCCTTAGCCAGGTATGTAGACTTGCAGCATCAGGTTTAACATCAAATATCTAATCTTGTACTAAAAGTGGTTATAGTTGTTGTTGTTTTTTGGCCTATTATGTACGATTAAACGAAATGGTCCCTCTTTCTGCAGTAAATCATTGTTACCAGACTAGTATTTTAATTCTTTTTTACGGGGAACGCCCCACCACCCCCACCCCCACCCCACTCCATCCCCGTCCTTTCCTTCAGACCTCATCAGTCCTCAGACTAATGTAAATCTCACGATAAGAGAGACTCCAAGAGAACTCCATTGTAGATCACAGAAAACAACATTATTCTAAAGAGTGAAAACAAACATGATAATGACAATAAAGCATTGCTGTTATTTTAAGAAAAGCATTTTCAGAGTATGAATCTGTAATGTTGATCGAGTTCAATGCTAATGTGTGAGTACATATTACATCCGAACACACATGTTTAAAGTTTTGTACAGCACTTCAAGTAACACAGCAAAAATAATCCATATCAGAACCGTAGTGTTTTGTTTAGTGCTGATGGGAGATCACGTTCTATGTACAAAAGAATGCTTCGTTTTCCTGCGTGTTTTTGTTCAGCGTGTTCTCCTTACTTCATTGTCATTTCAATCGTCATCGGTGCCCTCTTCGGTACTTGCCGAAAAGAATTTTCTGGAAAGCACTTCGGAATTCGGGGCTGAAAATGGTGTAAATGATCGGGTTTAGCAGGCTGTTGAAGTAGCCGAGCCAGAGGACGAAACTCCGGGCAAAGATGGGAATGTTCCGCTCGTCAACGAACGGGCCGATCAAAGCAATAATGAAAAAGGGTAGCCAGCAGATAAGAAAAGCCCCGGTGATGATGGCCAGAGTGCGCGCTGCTTTTCTCTCCCTCTTGAGCTCCAGTTTCTCCCGCGCCCTTGAGTAAGGAGTGAGGTCGTTGGCGCTGATCTTCTTTCCGTTCTTGCATTGTCTCTCCAACATGGCGATATTGGCCTCGTCGTTACAACCGTTAGTGAAGGCGTCCGGCTCGATTATCTGCTTCAAACGGATGTTGTTCCCACTATCGCTTGCACTCAACGCGTTGTCTGCGCTCTCGGAACAGCTCAGTCCGTTTGCTTGTTCACTGCTCGGTTCGGGTTCCACAACGGTGCAAGAGCGTTCAGCATACGCCGTGGTTAGTTTCTTGTTGCGATTTTTCTTTCGTTCGGGTCTTGGCGAACAACCGTAGCTTTTGAATGGTGCCCGACGCTTCTTCTTCTCGTGGTCATTTCGAGGAGAGCAGCCGTTGCAGTCACTGACAACGCTGTACTCTGTTTTAGGGGAAGCAACGAGTGTTGTTTCTTCAGTCTTCATGTTGGCTTTGTTCTGCTGGAACTTGTCTTTGCGAATTCTGGAGCGGGCCACCTGGTAAATCCTCGTGTAGATGACCATCATAACTGCCATGGGCAGATAGAAAGCTCCGACCGTAGAGAAGATTGTGTATCCCTTATCTTGGGAGATTATGCACTTGCCTGTTATGTCTGAATCATTGTTAGGGTCTCTCCATCCAAATAACGGTGGGATAGATATGAACAGAGCTACGATCCACACAACTGTGATCATCAACAGAATGCGACGTGCGCTTCGTCTGCGAATGTAGTCAATGCTGGTCACCGCCCAGTACCGGTCCATGGCAATGGCGACCAGGTGAAGAATGGAGGCGGTACAACAGAGGACGTCCACTGAGATCCACATGTCACACACCTCCTGATGCAGGAACCACACCTGAAAGAAAAATAAAAGACACACACGTCGTTAGAAATACTGTCAAAAAAACATGTATCGAAAGGAAGAAAAGCTCACGAAAAGAAGTGGAAAATAAATTGTCAAATAAACCAAAGTCCACCTCGCGACGTCTTTTGGGGCAGTAGGGTTTTTAATAAATTATGGGGCTAAGATGCAAAGGTAGTAGGTTTCAGCTAGAGTAAAAATGCAGCGTTTTTCTAAAAGTCGTGATCCAACGTTCACAGACTCACTAATTGTCAGTCGTTACAGAGGTAACCCGAATATATGACTTGGGGTGCTTATTTGTACCAACAGTCGACCAAACCTGCGTGAAGATTGGCCAAGATTTAACGAAGTGTTTTACTTTTTAAGAATGGGAAAAAAATATTATAATGATCTCTCTCAGTCTCTTCCTCCCGCCTCTTAAATAATCTTACTGTGATGAAACCTATTTGTATGTGCATGTATATTATGTGTAATATGATGTATGAGTGCATGTGTTCACTTGTGCGTGCATTTTCAATAAATATAATGTTGATTAGTTCAGCCTAATGTACCGCAAACGTCTGTCGACACAGATGAAAATTTCTTTGATGGTCGGAAGAAATACTCCAGATCTCGGAGAAATTTTCAGCGTCTTTTAATGCAAGCAGCTTTGAGCAAAAATCCTTTATTGTATTGATTGTCGTATCGACTTCCACTCAAGCGTACTAACCAAGACGCTTCTAGATTGATTGTTTCTTTGTTTTTATCCTCCAAAAGAAGAAATCTCTAGATCTCTCTCAGTGCGTTGTGGGTCGATGGATAGAAAATAATGGTATTTTGTAATATATAATAAAAATACAGATGCATATAATAATGCCCGCGTTTATCTCTGCGCAGACTCGAGATTATAATTCTATTTTCTTTCAGATAAAGAACTAAACCTGACTAGAACCACTAATAGTGGAAGTAAAGAAAACGTTTTAAGATAAATGTTAACATCTGAAGTTCAAAGGGAAGACCACAGAAGTCTATTGATTCTATGCCGATAGCTAAGAACTGCTTGTAAATTCTGCTTTGTGTCTGCGAGAAGGATCTTTGTTGAGCCTAAGGTTCTAGAAACCGTAAGCTTCTAGATTTATGCTATGAGTATAAAGCCACTTTAACTTCTACTTCTAATGACTAAGGCAAGTTTTGGGTATGGAAAAAGGCAGAGAAACACTCCCCCCCCCAAAAAAAAAAAAAAAAAATTAAAAAAAAAATAGATAGATAGAGCTAGGATAAGTTGACTTACATACATTAACACACACACAGACACACGCACACACACTCACACATACATACACATACACACGTATGTAGAGAGAGTGAGAGAGAGAGAAATAGAGAGAGCACGTATAAGAAAGAGAAAGAGAGATGGGCGGAAGAAGGGCGGAACAGACAGACTACAACATAGGCAGTAATTAAGTCAGTAAGACAAGTCGAGAGGAAAAGACTATAAGGATAAAGCAATGCAAACACTATTATAATTTTTACCAATATTACCATTATTATCATCATCATCATCATCATCATTATCATCATCATCATCATCATCATCATCATCATCATCATCATCATCATCATCATTGTCCACCAACGTCACAGAAACAGTAACAACATAGAAAAGAAAAGCACAAAGACAATGACTGTTATGCCCCCAAATACTTGATTGCTCAGACACCCACGGCAATCGTCAGGTGGAGAAAACGATAATGTTCACTCAAGTTCGTAAGACATGTAACCAAAGGAAAAGCACGTTTCTTTGGGGGGGTTTTTATGTACTCCTGCAACGGGTAATTGTGAACAGCGAAATCGATGCTCCTGTACATAAATGGATAAGAGAAACGGTGACACTTATTTATAAGACAAGGCGGGGATCTAGCTCGATACTAACCGAGTTACACTAGCAGGGTGGGCTACAAGGCTTTGACTGGATCAGAACATGATCCCGAAGTAGAGCAGCAACGGCATGGGAAAGACACCAAATAGAATCTTTTGTCTTTCAGTGATAGATAGATAGATATTCATATTATAGAGCAAATTGATAGATAAATAGATAGATAGATATTCATATAATAGAGCAAATAGATAGATAGATAGATAAATAGATTAGATATTCATACTATATAGATAGATAGTCGTGTTTAAAAAATGCTCTTCAATAACAACGAATCCTTGACCCTTGAACTTTCCCCCATGTGCTGGCTCGTCAATGGCGGACTTACGCCTGCCAGCCAAGGGGTGGGGGGGGGGGGGAGGGTGTGATGTAAGCCCATTCTCGTCGGATTGACAACGAATTTCCCCTCTTTTTCCCTTGCCTTGCCGACCAGGTTTTCCCTAATCCATCTACCCCGTTGAACCATCTGATTCCTGAGGTGTGTGCAATTCCGCCTTCATTGATCACTGGAGCTTGAGAGTGGATTTCACCTTCAGCAATTGTCAGGAAATCTCCTGTAGCCGTTTCTTTCTGGCTTTCCATTTGTCTTCTTTTTATCTCTCTCCTTCTTATTCCTTTATTTTTTTGGGGGGGAGGGATCGACCTATCGTTTTTTTTAAAAATAATATCTGATCTGAACGTGTTTTTCTACAGGTAGCTTCATCTTTAGTCTCTCTCTCTCTCTACCTCTCTCTTCTCTCTCTCCCTCTCTCTCTCTCTCTCT